AATTTATGTATGATGTAAAATGACACAAATACCCTTCCTATCGACTTGATCATACATGAAAAATGGGCAAAATCGACTTTTATCACATTTGATGCAAAATGGTGCAACACTATTCACTTGGATCATTTTGCACTAAAATAGTGCAAGATTTGGTATTGGATGAAATGGCGTTTTTGGTGAAAAATGGTGGGATTTGGTGGAATAGTGCGTGGGTTGAAGTTGCCCTTAACTTTCTTGCAGACATGCTTTTAAATTGAAAAGCTAAGCGTCTCCTCAAGAGAGGCAACATTTTTCTTTCATTGTTCTACTAAATGTTCTTTTGTGTTCGAGTTTTTGAATTGTCAATCATTATTTTTCAATTTAAGTTGAGCTTGACGAAGCAAATCCTACTCAGTAGAAACTAGAAATGCAACAAAATAGATGGCAACGACAAATTTATACGCCCATTCCAGTAGCATCTTATCATCTACCATGTCAACTCTGGGTTCTAAGAATTCAAGAAAACACTGAAACAAATAGAATCTATGCAAGGAAGGGAATTGTCTTGGACGAAAAATTTACAGGACGAAGACTCCTTTGATGATGCATCTAAAATAGAATTATCGAACCTTTCGAGCACCCCCCTTTACAGCATGTCAACATTTTCCAACCAAAAGTTTCAGAAAGCCATAAACAAAGGAATTGAACAAGGCAAATCAAGTAGCCAAGTCTATTTAAACTAGAACAAATGAAAAAAATTTAACAATTTGAAGGATTTTTCAAATTTTCCTGTGATTTGACAAGGCAGATGAAGATGATGGCATAGGCAGTTTTGCGATTGTCCTGTGCTGCTCAGAGGGAAACAGAAGGCTACTCCAGTTAGTCGATCTCTGAACAATTCTGGAGGGTATTTGGTCACTGTCTTCCCCACCCGATGCCTCGTATCCATCACTAGTTGATCTCGAGAATGGAATTCCCTTTCTAAAAGCCATGCCAGATGTCGACAGCCCAACGAACTGCCCTGCTTCTTCAGCACCTGATGAGGAGGCACGGAAAGGGTGAAGATCGGGAGAATCCAAGCTACTCTCCGGAGAAGAAGCAACAATGTGAGCTGAGGTCGGCATAGCTCTGCTCGTTCGTAAAGCACTTGGAGCTTCATGTTGAAGAGAGACCAAACCAGCTGATGCCTCAGGAATCACATAATCCCTATTTTCTGCATTTTCATTTGAAATCTTGTAGTGAGGATCAAACGGCAAGTCAGTAGGAAGGCGAATCCGTTGGCTACCCCGTTTTCTATTATTATCAAGTCTGGGGGCCAGTCGACGTCCACTACTGCCAAACGTACCGTCAGTTTCAAGGGAATATGTCCCATCACGTCTTGCTACAGGCTGCAGAATTTTCGACTTCTTTCTTGCCTCTGCAGCAGCCTTTGAAACCTCTTCTGCATTCAATCTTGCCAGTGTCCATGGACTGATCTTTACAGCAGGATTCTTTTTCTTCGTCATTTCCTCAATCACTGTCCTTTTCCCTAGTGAACTGACAGATACATTGTCTGGAGGAACTACATCAAACTGCAACATAACCAGTATTTTGCACAATATCAATAACAAGTTATGGATATTGGCAGTGGTGGATAGGAATCTAGCTGAACACTGGCAGTCACTAGATGGCCGCTCGAGCGGCCCCCAATATAAGGGGAAAAAAATAATTTCCAGCGTAGCCAACACAGGCGGCCACGGGGGCTCACCGGGTGCTAGCTCCGTCCTGGATATTGGAACCTAATGACGGATTCAAGTGCCTTTGATTTTTCACCTTCTAATAATTGTGAAACCAAACACAACATGGTGGTATATATCTTACCTGATCTTCAACAAAAAGGCGTGGAGGCGTGCACCATGCAGCGCGGTGGAAGGTGTTAAAGGAGCTTGCACTGCTTAAACCAGTAAGAGAGCTACGGGTAGACATCTGAGGACTTTGCTGACCTGCGGCAGCTAGTTGCTCTTGTTCCCTCAAAGCAATGATATAGTCATATGTACTAATTCCCTGTCAACCGATATCACCAAAAAATTTACTTCATTAGCGCTCTTTTTTCCCTTATCATTAACATGAAAACTTGATAATAAAAGGAAAATAAAGGCTAACCTTCTTTATTAGAAGAATGTGAAAGAAGAACAGCTGAGTAAGTGGCAAGGTTGCGATCATAGCCAATATGGTGCATACTGCCTGTCATATTTAAGCTCGTAAGGCAATAGAAAAAATTGTTAAAAAATTCAATAAACTTGACCTTACAGAAATGAATCGGCAAAGTATTTAGAAAGCTCCCAAGTACGAAATAATAGAGTTGAAGTGACAACAACGTGATGGGAACTTATAGAATACTCACCACAACAATCACAAAGGGAACCACTGTAAAACTGCTTCCTAACTTGGAGCTGATGTCCACAGAGTATTTCTTTCTCTCAAGAAAACACCGTACGAGTACAAAGATTCCAGTCGACCATTGGAATATAATCTGCAATCTCAAGTCATAGGTGTAGAAACCATGTACACGCCAGTCAATAAAAAAATAAAAATAAATAAAAAGTAACTTGAAAATGAAATAGTTGCTTTTTGAGTCAATTTTTGTAAGGGATAAATCAACGTCGAATAAAGATGAAAATATAGACCAACATGTAAGGACTTGAGCTAATCCTCTCAACAAGGTTGACATCTAAAATGAAACCCCAAGCGTTAATAACTTTCAGGGTCCACAAGTCCTCTTTGAGAAGAAAATTCGGTTACTAATGTCATTTAATAAAGAAAGAATAATCCACATAGAGAACGTTAGGCCAAGACAGGAATTTGTCACCAAAATGTCTGGATTGCAGAACACAATCATGATGAAACTGGGTTCAGAAAGTGGGAAAACAAGAAATAAATGAGAAAGGTCATGCTTCATTGAAGACAGGTAGCAGATTTGTTCTATAGGTTCAAGAGTTCGACTTGGTTAAATAACCAAAGGTAATCAGAATTAGGAATAGCAAAGAGAGTTAACGGATGAAGTATAGGGATTCCCCAGGGAAAAAAAATGATATCTGGAGAATCTGCAGTTTGTTGTCAAGATCACGAGATAAGTAATAGAGGCGGGCATATACCAGGAGAAGGGCAGACACCATGAGTGTAAAGAATTTTCGGTAGTTCCTTCTTCCTATGCAATTGTTGAGCCACTGCAAAACCAGAATGAGAAAATGTGTTAGTTCTTCTCACAACATAGTAAAGTTTCTTCAAACTTTAGATTGTGAGGTACCCTGCAATGATGATCGAACCGATCAACACACTTGTCACAGACTCTGCAATGCTTGCTGTACTTGAAAACCTGCAAATGGAGAAATTTCCCGATTCGTAAGAATAAGCATTGATTTGTTTGGCCACAGAATCAGGTCACAATTTTAGTGACATTTTACAAGAGAAGTTATTAAACGGGCACTCATTGCTTCTCCAAATGTTGTCGAGGATTGTAGGACGGTTTTGCGACATAAATCTCACTTCAAAACCATTTGATTTCATAGGTAACTACCCACCTCTACTTCACACAAACTACAGTAGAACATGCCATCTTCGCTCATTTGTTGCTCGGAAGATTCTTCATCTAAGTCACAAACATAAGCACAAGGTAAAAAAGCAAGGATTGCCATAAAGTAGGAGACTTGACGGGACGGCATGTTCTTCTTATCACTTTCAGAAGTACATTCAGCTCTTTTATCGATACTGATGTTACTTTTATCAAAAGCTTTTTCTCCTGGTATGCCTGCACAGCCATCTTGTATTGAAGAAGTTGATTCTGCACCAAGTTTAGACTCGTTCAATCCGACATGCTTTTTGCTGTCGCGAATTTTAAGATATTTTTTGGACCTAAAGACTCCCGGATCTGCAGGATCAGCAGCTGCGCACCAAATGAACAGGCTGAAGACACCTATAATCTGAGAAAAAAATAAGATAACCATTCAATCATATATCTTGAAAAGAAACTAGGCACATAAAGAATCCTTTTTTTTTTTTTAGATAATTTTAACTAATTTCCTTCCCAATCACAGTGTAACAAACAGTATGCAGACACTAATTATGCAGAATTGATAAATTGCCGGGACGATCCCTTATCAACAGTGGATTTTAAGGCAAAAACAATAATCCCAAAATGAAAAATAATCACCAGTGCCAAGAATTTTCAAAACAAGTGAAAAATCCAATCTTCACAAGAATGACAATGGAATTCTCAAATGAGGAAGTAGTAGCTTAAAAAAAAAAAAAAAAAAAAAAGGAATATAGTGAACAGGAAATTATTTCAAGAAAAATTCAGAATCAGGGGGAAAAAACAAGTTCAATCAGACAGTGACCACAGATCTCAGTTCTTACATGACAAAGGCAAAGAAACTGATAAAGGGATGTAAATAGTTCTTACAAGAGGAGTGTAAATCCCCATCACTATGTTTTGAAACAATTGTTTTCCCACAAATGGAGCAAAGAAAACATAGAAAGAAAACCCCAATGCTAGAAATACTGCAACAGCTACCACCTGCACATATACAGACTAAACTCAGACTTGCAAATAAAAATATAAAATAAATATAAATCACGCAAAAGCTTAAAGGTACAAAAATTAAGAATGCTCATGGGGGAGTGAAGAAGAAAAATATACCTGGAGAGGATGGTAGGGAAGCTGCCATCCATGTTTCCTCATTGTGATAAATTGAAGTTGCAATAAATAAAAAAAAATCAAGAAAATGTAGAAATGAAGTTGGTTTTACTTCCTCTTCCTCTTTACATCACTGCTTCATGTAGAATTTTAGTGGGTCTAATAAGTTGGACCAGGAAAAAAAAAATTCCCAAGAATGAGCTCAATTCTAGCCCACCTACCCACCACCCCAAATTTCACATACTGATGGTGAATAGACAGAGAGAAAAGCAAAGGAAGGGCCTTTGCCTTAGCATTTAGGGCTGAAATGGGATTATAGAACAAATGGTTATTTCCTTCTTAAAAATTCCTTGTGCTTGAGGCAAGCAAAGCAAAGATCTGGGGTGGGGGTAATGTTGGACTGTTCTTGAAGGATATATTTACCCTCGGCAACCTAGCTTTCGCTTTTTCCGTTTGTTTTCTAGCATTGGCTTCTCAGCAGGACAGAATTATACAGCCAGTTGTCTCTCTCTCTCCTCCACTGTACAATTTCAACAACTCTATTTATCATACTCTTTTGTATCTCTTTCTCTTGATTTTTACGTTTGCACGCATAGCAGACCGATTCATGGGATAAATTTGTCTTATTTTAAAAAAATACATTATTAAACAGTAATTTGATATTATTTTAATAATATATTTTTTAATAAAATAATATTACACGTAAATTAAAAAAATTTCCTTATTTTTTAGCCACACATTTTCCGTCACACACTATTTAAGAATGCATTATTACTAAAATAATGTGACTCAAACACCCAGATAATTTTAAAGAAAACAGTAGAACAACCATTCAAGAATACATTATTACTAATATAATGTGACTCAAACACCTTGGTAATTTTAAAGGGAACAGTAGAACAACTTCACTCAATCTGTAACATAGGGATACGTTAATTGGTCATTAGTTATTAGCAGTGTCAAGATGAATAGAGCATCCTAAACAATCGAAACTGATTTAATGAGTAGAGAGAGAAAAAGTAGTGTTGCGTCCCTAACATTTCATGTGTTGCTATTATGATCCTCAACTTAATTAAATTGATGTACCTATGTGACTTCGAGCAAGAACAACATAAGTGGTTTCAGAGTTTGACCCCTCATCTTAAATTACGTTAAACTAGAGGCAATTTTAGCATCCATGTTGACGATTTCATTCTCGTAAGGATCCTCAAAATAAGTTGAGAATTCAGAACTTTTGAAGATTATAGACCTATGGCCACATCACATGAAAATTGAAAGTGGCTTATTTTCCTTTAAATATAGAGATAATTAGGCTAGGATTCAAATTTTTTTGGTATCACATTGTTTTCCAGTTTTATTATTATTAGGCTACTGTCAAAATTTTCCAAAAACTAAAAGACAAAACATAAGTCATTTGGCTCTCTTCCTAAAGAAAACAAAAAATGATGTTGGGCCTGTAGGTTGATTCAATTTGTAGTTTTGAAAGACAAATCGATTTAGCCTATACCTTTTACACATGCCAATTCAAGTGTTCATTTTAAGGATATACGTTACATTTATTAAATTTCTTAATATATTAAACCTAGATTTTAGATCAATTCAAACTGATCTGATCATTTTGACTCCTCTATGTATATCATACTCACTTCCTCGCCCATATAATAAAACTCGAATCCTATTAGCTTGGTTGTGGAGATTCTTGTTGTTTTAATAAAAATCCAAAGAGAGAAATATTTAGAGAATTTAAACATGTATATGTCCATGTGGCGTGGGATAATTGACTGGGTTTATATAATAGCATTGACATTCATTGAAAGTTTTTTTTTTTTTTTTGGGTGAATGTGTGGTTAAAAAGTACGAAAATTACGATGAAACATGAAAAATAATTTTTTAAAAGAATATGGTTAAGAATTAGTATGGGAGAGAGTAATTTTTAAAGAATTAAAATAGAATAAGGACTTAAGATAAATTACTTAGTATTGTCATATTCTTATGTTTTTGTATTTGTTTGAGATCATCAAAGAATATTATCATGTGCAGTCCTAGACATGCGACAATTATCTACATTGGGGTTGCCTAAACCTCATACATTAGTGTTACAAGTATTCTCCCATGTGGCATGAAAAAAAATAAAAAATAAATAAAAACAAAAAAATAAAAAAATAAAAAAGAGAATAATAAAAGATCTCAAATGAAGGACAATTTTGGCACACGACCAACTCTACGATCTTGAAAATTGAGAGTATGTAACTCTTTAGAAAGGTAAATAGTTCGCCTTCGCAAAAAGATAGTCCTTCGCTGGTTGAAAAACCTTATTGATTGTATCACAAAAAAGAAGAATAGCAAATAAATGTCAGAAAATTTTTCGTTAAACTATAAAAGTAAAAAATTTCTAGTGCATTGTTAAAAGTATTCTACCCCTTTCTCATTTGAATTAAAATCGAGTTATTAACAAGTTTTAATAAAAGTTGATGAAATGTGTGATTAAAAAGTTGATAAAAGTTGTAGGTCGTATGAAATATATAGTTTAAAATAAATAAAAAAACATGGTTCTTTATATCTCAAACAAAAGACAATTTGGGTGACAAAGGTCATCACTTTTTTTAAAATGCGTGAGGAAAAAAGTCAAAAAGAACAAGGAAGAGAAATAGCTTATGAATGACAATCTCTAATTGGTGTCGATAAATTATAAAATAACAAGAACTCATTATGTTTCTAGTGGTAAAACTTTAATATATACGAGAGAAAATCATCTTTTTCCCATCTATTATGGTCTTTCTATATTTTGGATATTTTTATTTGAATCTTGCTTAACTTCAATTTGTTACAATCAAATCAAATATTAATTAAATTTTTTAATAAATTTATTAGTTATTTGTATGAAAATTATATATTTGTGGTGGGGGAAATATTATCCCCATTGTCTTTTCTCATTTGATGTTGATATGACCAAATCTTGGTGGGTACCAAACATATTGTCTTTGTGGCTCGAGCCTTGTGTCATTTGTTCCAATGGGTTAGAGTTTTTCAAATATATATATATATATATATTTGATGTTGATATGACCAAATCTTGGTGGGTACCAAACATATGGTCTTTATGGCTCGAGCCTTGTGTCATTTGTTCCAATGGGTTATATATATATATATATATATAATCCAAAAAACTAAATAATAATAACAAAAACAATCCAAATTTTACCTTAAAATATAATACATTGTTCGAATCCTAAAATGATATACGTTTCATAAGAGTGAATTTTGTTAATTAATTATTTTTACAACAATCTCATTCGAGTATTGAGTTGTTAATTTTTCTAGAATTTAATTTGTTTTCTAACTTGGCCCTCAACCTTTTTGTTTAGCTTAGTCCTCCTCAATGGATGAGATTAATAAATAACTTTTAAGGTGGTTTGTAATTTTATTTTTCTATCTTTTTTTCATTGAATAATATACAAAATACATATATAAAAAAATCGCGTGCATGTTGCGTAGTTATTAGCTTTCGTCCAATAAAGACCTTCTTACGGCTAGACCAAATGTTTATAGATCTACCGGTCGATAAATTTTGATTAAAAATAAGAACTTACCCCCAAAAAATAAATAAATGAATAAATAAAAAATCCCTCATTAATGCAAATTTTATATTATTCATTTTGTCCTACTAAACAAAATTAGATTTTTTCCCTGTCACATAAAAAAATAAAATTTAGAGCAACACGTGACTCTGTATCCATATCCACTGGTGCACACTAGAAACCAAAATCCAACCAAAACTTTATATAATTTCCCTAATTTATGGCACTGCTAAGTACTATCACCCCAACACAAAACCATTCCATTCCACCCCTACCCCTAATCTCATTTTTCTTCCCACAAAAAAAGCTTTGAAATACACATAAAAAGAAAAAGATTTTTATTGTTGTTAATTAAGGGTATTAACAAAGTGTTGAATGTAGCAATTCCAACAATGTTTCACCCGTTCTAGGTTCGAATGAAGGAAAATGGTTGATGTATGTCTACGTTCTTATCAATGGTTTGCAAACTCAAGCTTTGATCGGCAATGATGCTACACATAATTTCATAACAGAGGATGAAGCCAAGCTAGTTGGGGCTAAATGTTCACCTCAAATTCGTGATTGCTACCACTAAGTCTCTGGTTGGCTATGTTCGTTGGGTAAAATTGTGTCATGGTGCTTGACATGTTTAGGTTGATCTATCGGTTACAACAATGGATGATTTCAAGTTGGCGTTTGGATTAGATTTCTCAAGGAAAGTGAACATCATTTCGATGCAATCTTTCAAATCGGTGTGTATTTTGGAAGGGAAAAAAAACCCTCGTTCATGATCACTAATGTTTTCGTTAGGACGGAAGCTAAGCATTTATTAACTTACATTTAGTAAAAGGATCTTTGAAGATTCCAATATCTAATTTTCTACCTTAGCTATGTTTCTGTGTCTTTGTTGCTATCGAAGGCAGTTCTGTCTTATCGAAAGCATGTTATCTATGTAAAATTTTCAACAATTGTCTAGATGTCCTGAATGTGAATATAATTACCCTAAAGACGACAGTAAAATTGTCTAATGGGGACAAAAGTGCTATAAAATGAAAGATTGGGAACCAAGAGGCAACATGCATGAAAGTATGGGAACCTCTTATGCTACTTTACCTATAAAATAAAACACATTAGCCTCTCGGTACATAGCACAGTGATGCAAAGGTCAGGAGTGAGGTTATCTCACGCCTTGCTGGCAGCCGCAGTGTGGAAATTCAATTCTTGAAATATGGAATTGAACTCGTTGTAGGGGCAGTATACAAACAGCTTTTGTTCCCTGATTTGTTGGACTACATCCCGCGATTTACCTTCCTAATAAAGTTCTAAGGGCGGGATGGTGGGTGCCCTCAAGATTGGGGTTCAACCTCTTAAAAACACATTACATTATTCCTTATCGGGGCCCACTCCTTTTGTTGTTGTCATCCCGTGAACCAACTGTGAAGAAAATTGGCATCTTGGTCAACCAATTAGAGAGGGTACACGGACATACCAAATCATTTTTGTATTCATGATTTTCTTTTTTATTTCTTAATTTTTTCTAGCTCTATAAGCTTCAATCATTTTTAATTATCATGCTTAAATGATAACGTTTTCATTTATTTTCAACATATTTTATATGAAATTTTTAGTAAAAATGTTATTCTATTGTACTTATCTTACTAATTGGAGCCTCAACTTATTTAATTGGTAAAGTTTCATCAATAATTTTCGATTGAATGTTAAAGTAGTGCCTACTAATCAAAATTACCTTTATTGGTTGATGTAGTCAGTGGTTTCCTCATAGTGGTCCTTAAATAATCTACATATTTTTTCTTGCATGCATCACGTCTATCAATTTAGAAACGTCAATCAGGTTATGCTGTCATGGAAGGTTTGACACCGCCCCTAACAGCACATTCACGGGTGGGGGTAATACTTTTTGACATTTTTTATTCATACAGGACAACACGCAAGTAAGCGTATGTCAATCAGAGTTTTAAATAATTTCTAGCAAATGAGCTCTATCCTAAAAACATTGTGAAAATTGACTTGTTTAAAGAATTTGAACCATAGAGAATTATAGCAAAATTAATAGTAATTCAAGATATGAAATCAATTATTTTAGTTATGCAAAAATTACAAGGTCGGCCACTTGGCATAACACATTATCAAAATTAAATTTATTTGAAATTTCGTATTGATTAAAATCTAAACAACCCAACTGAATGTAATGTAAAATATTTTGAGAAAGACAATTTATAGCAATGATATTTTCATTTACATGATTTTTTTTTAAATTTTACTCTATCGAATCCAATCTAATATATCGAACACGATCTAAATGGACCAATATATTAAATTAAAATGTCCATGGGGTAATAGTCAATTGATGAATGAACCCAAACTCTTTAATGATGAGAAATATAAAGATGGTAGGGATGGTGGGTGTATATATCATTATATAACTTTATATAAACATGTGAGACATTTAATGATTCCCAAGCCAAGTGGTGCACTCCTGCCTTTAATGCTTTATATGTTACAATTATTTTCTCAACAATTTTATTTGTACATAAATTTGAGCACTTCGAATTAAATTTTGACTAGAACCAAATTTGAAACACAAACCCAAAACATTCTAGTCTACAATTTTTTCTAGCTCAATTAGTATGTTTAGCAGTCAAATTGATTTTTATTCGTATATTTTGTGGGATTGCAAATATTATATACTTATGCACCACATATTTTTTTTGTTCATAGGAAATCACTTTGGAGAATTTGAATTTTCATGACAACAACCATGGTGAAATTGACTATCTTGAAAAGTTTTCATAATGGATCTTGCCTTCACACGGGTTTACTAAAGTATGTCTCGAATAAGAAAATCGAAACTTGATTAGAGTTGGCTCATATAGGCATTTAAAATGCTACTAGATGGACATTAATCGTTACATATAGGGATGACAATCGGACTCGTTGGGTTGAACCTTTCGTGGCTCGACTTGAAAAAAAGCTCGAGCCAGCCTGGCTCGAGACTCGGACCGAACCCATTTTTGAGAGTCGAACCAAAAAAAAGCTCAATGTAAAAAGCCGAGCCGAGAGCTTCAACTGAGCTCGTTGACACCTTTAATTATGTGCATCAAGTTCATTTAGAGTATCAATCCAAGCCCATCTAAATTCAAAAATAATTGGCAAAGCATGGCCCATGACCCCAAGTACCAGGAAAAAAATTCATTTTACCTCCATTTTGTCAACTTTCTCTTTATTTTATTCTTTTCTTTTCTATCTTTTTAGCCATTTTTACGATCGGTTGAGTTACATTTCTACTAATTTTTATTTGTATTTTCTTTTCCTTTTAATTTGTAAATGAAAGAATTTTTTCCCCCCTAAATTTTCATGTTTTCCAAGAATAATCAACAGACAATTCTATCAATACAAAGAAAAAAATCCCCCCCCCCCCCAAATTTTCATGTTTTCCAAGAATAATCAACAGACAATTCGATCAATACAGGGGTATTTTTCTGAGGGGCAGTGATTGGTGTACAGCTGAACCCCTACCGACACCTCACATGGATGGGGTGAGTGGGTGAATTTTTTGACATATTTATCCATGCAGGGTCCACACTTTGTGAGGTATTTGTAAAATTTTCTGTAGGAAACTTTTCTGTACACCAAACATTTTCCTTTTCTGAGAAGAACATTAGATGACCCTCATTTCATGTCTATCTATATAAATTTTTCTCTTTGCCGATTTTTTTTTTTTTCCATTTTGTATTGTCCTTTATTATTTTAGGACATAATTAGGAATGGCAACGAGTCGGCTCGCGAGCCGAAAATCAAGGCTCGAGCTCGACTCGAGCTTTTTGAAGACGGATTTTTTTTTGCCCTAGACGGGTCGAGCTTAATCAAGGCTCAGGCGGAGCTTTCAACTTGAGCCTTACCGAGCTGAGCTGCCTCATTTTTTTTCCACTTTTTTTTTTTAATTTTTTTTCCTCCTTAAAAGGCAATTTTTTCTTTATTTTTGTTTCATTTAAATAGCAAGATATACTCATCATTTTAATTTTTCTGTTCTTTTTTTTTTTTGAAAATTTAAATAGGACGATATATTTGTCATTTTACATTTTTTTTTATTGAAAAATTGAATAAAAATCATGATTTTCACAATGAAAGGTAAAAGTAGAAACGAAAATGTCGAAAAAATGAAACGTATAAATGTTTTGTGCTAATTACATCTTCTGTATTATGACTACTTTCTTATATAGATATTTAGTTAACCACTAATTTTTCAAATAAATGTTTTGTGCTAATTACATCTTCTGTATGTATGACTACTTTCTAATATAGATATTTAGTTAACCACTAATTTTTCAAAAGCAATTAAAAAAATATATAAAAACGGAAAAACAGGGGAAAAAATGAAAGAGAAAAATAAAGAAGAAAACAAATATCAAAGCAAACCATTTTCATCCCCAATAATGATAGAAATGGGATGGGGTGGCGTGGGCAACCCTTTCTTGAACCCCAGTCCTCTACGTGCAAGAAGTGCCCCAACTAGGTGTACCAAAAGAACTCAATAACAAGAGATTCATACCTTACCAACTAGGTGTCCTCTACTAATGAATGAAAGTCAATGGCTCAAGATGGGAAACACATGAAAGGAGTGCGATCTAATTATCGAATTAAGTCAATGGCTGCAACCTCTTATTAAGATAAATTGTTCATCATTAACACTGACAGGAGACTAAAGAAAAAAGATCTCATCAACCAGCAACACTCTTCACTGAAACTTTATATCCTTTCTATACATACAAAAGAGATAAAAGAAAAGGTATTATTTTCAGTATATAGAGTTTAAAGTGACGAAATTGAAAATTTGGCAGCAATCAACTAACAACAATTATTCATAACTCATAAGTTTGCAGGAATGGAAAAGGAACCAGATTGTGCTACAAGTTCATAAATTTGCACTGAAATCAATTTCTACTCGCCCATAATAAACAACCTTCAAACACTTTTATCAAAAGGGGAGAAAAAAACAGAACATAACACAAGTGTGTAATAACTCACATGAAACTTTTAAGGATAAAGTAGTCTTCAATAGTCGAGAACAAAAACCATCAACATTCCAATCTTACGTATGGAAAAGATGGTTCACGATCCTCCCATACTTGAAAATTAAAAGGCAGCAAGCAATCCCCAATGGTAGAGGGACGCTACTTTGGACCAATATCCTTGAGGGCACAAATCTGCTCCTCTCCCATTGCAGACATGACACTAACAACCAGGTCCTTCCCTTCAGCAAATCCATCCTTGATCTGTATGTTATTCAAATAAATTAGGAATGAAATACAAATTGGCTCAAAAAGTAACTAATAATGGACAAAGAGATTCTCTTTTGCCCAGCCAACTATATGATTATTTTAGACAAACCTGAGTGAGCAGATTTTCATCGGTTGGAAGCCTCAGGTCATCCTTAGTGTTACCATTATCAGTCAGCAAGCTCACCTACATCATTTTGACATGCCTATTAGATAATGTGGATAATAGCAACATAAACAGTTTGGACAAAGAGACATACAAATCCATCTTCAGAGATGTCGATGAGCTGGTAATCAGTGCGATTAACATGAGGGACCTGCAGTTCAAAGATATCAATTGATAGTCAGCAGATGCAGAAGAAAGAAAAGAAGTACATGCTTAAAGGAACAATTTTACGAGAAAAGATAGTCTTCGTACATCACAATTGTGGGATGACGGGACAATATCTTCGAGCTTCTTTCCGTTAAAGATGTCAATTGCCACAAAGTGACACTTGGCATGACCATGCTTCCCAGTCTTTGAAGTTGAAACTTCAACAACCTTTTCACAGTTGCCATATATCAGGAATCAAATGATTATTACCAATAAGAATATATCTGTAAATTGTAAATTAACTTCTGCGCTCTCTCAAATAAAAGAATATACCAAGTCACACAAATAAAACATGCAGATCTAGGATTTCAAAAATTCGAGTATCATTCCACAAAACATAATGATCAATTTACAAAACAAGCAAAAGATTAGAAAAAATTGAATTTTTAAAAACAACAAAAAACCATAAATAATCAGATAATATAAAAATTAGCATAAACTTTTTTATCATAATTAGCTGGCAAATACATACAGAAATCAAAATTTGCCGAATTTGCACAATTACAACATATAAACACACAGATCCAGATGTACAAAAATTACCCTAGAAACACGAGGATTCTCCAGTACACATCCAAGCAATAAAAAGGAAAAAAAATCAAAATTAACTAGTTTATCATAAATGATAACATTAGTAAAGAACCCTGATCGAATTTAAACAAATTAATATAGCAAATCGCATTAAAAATACGCGTACATAAATACGAACCTTGCAGGGGCGGCCTTTGATGACAATGTAACCATTCTTACGGATGGTTCCTGCCTGCTGGGGAAAAGTCTTGGAAGCGCCAGCATCGGCCTTCGACTCAAAGTGATGTTCCTCGTCCGACATAGTCGATTTTCCCGATAAATTCTAGAGAGCGTAAAATTTGTAGATAGAGCGGAGAGGCTAGGGTAGCGGGCGAGGCGCCCCGACTGGGTATTCTTATATACATGATCGTGGAAGAGGGAGAATTTAGGGTTTTCATCTTTTGAGGAAATTGATTTTGGACCGTTGGATTGTGATGTGAGGATTTACGGACGAGATTGGAGATTTTTTTGGCTTTGCTTTTTTGAGTTTGCGTTAAAACGACGCAGTGTGTGAAGGAATCTTTATCCATTTAGAATTTCAGATATATCCGCCTAATATGCTTTTCTTTTCTTTTTCTTTATTTTTTTTCTCAGAGATTTATTTTATTTGAGTTGTAACATTTAGCCCCCGTTTGTTTCCCATTTTTTCTTCATTAAAATGAAAAATATGATCGTTATCCAATATATCAAATTATCAAATTTGAATTTCTATCTCTTGTGTGGATTTCATAACGACTATATTTTTCATTCTCATTTTTATATTAATGTGTATCAAACGGGTTCTTAATATCAAAACCGAACATGTGGAACGGATACTGAATCTCTTGCCAATCTCCAAAAACATAGCACGGTGCCAATTTGACACATAAATCATGGAGCTTTTAAAATAGATTAGGATATATTGATACTACGTACATAGTACTTATCTTATCGAATGTAGAGGGTGGAGGCTTATAATCTTCCATTGAATAAAGAGCCGGTATTGTTGAAACAAAAATTGTAGGTCAAAAGTGAAGTTGTGTGAGAATGTAGAGGATGAGATTTTATAATCTTCCCTTGAATAAAGAGTCAATATTGTTGACAAAATTTGTATGTTGAAAGTAAAGTCTTGTGCTGGAAAGGAACGACAATAAAAGAAAATGAAATTGAAAGTTTATCTATTTCATCATTATACATGTTGAAGTCATGTGGAATTTTAACATGTCTAATGCCTTCAAGGCCTAATTTGCTACATATTTGTTACAAACAACTCTTGTCCAAAAAAATAAAAATAATCCAACTTGTAACATTGCAAATAAGCTGAGGACTCTTGATGCAATTTTTCTATATTAAATATTAAACTTTTAAAAATAAATGTATCGATTTTGATAGACATAACCTTCTGATCTTTGCCCATCTTGTAGAATACTCCCATATTCTTTCAAATTGATGAAAAACCTTCTAGATGACATTTTACATGTGAAAGATCCTAAGACGTTAAAAATAATGAAGATGATCAAAATTAAAAACGAATAATTATAGTTACAATCCTCAACTTTTTATTTTTTGTAGGTTATACCCAAACCTTTTATTTTTGCTACCCACAATTCCTAACCTTAAAAAACTTCATCTTCTTGCCAAATTCTAAAAGGTTAAAATGATTGTTTTATATTATTCTATATAAAAAAAATTAAAGTCAGAAAGAAAAATATGCACCCCACCCCCAGCTCATCCCATCCTCCCACACCACAAATCCTCTTTCCCGAGTAAGCTCACTACACGACTCCAAATTGTGCCCCATAACCATAAATTTTGCATTTTTGTGTCATTTGACACAACTCGTCCCGAATCACTCTAATGAGTTCGGGACGTGATGTGCGTCGATAATGAATGTTAGCTAAATGTTGAACCTTTCCCCAAGGCTAACTTTGACCTTAAAGAGTAGGGTCTAACAATCTTACCACCATCCATAGTGTTTCATTCTTGAAATTCGATTAGCTAGAATTCGAACATGTAAAGTCAAGATATAGAGTACACATTATAATTCGAGCAAGCTTTTAAGTTTACATCTTACAGCATAGTATGTAGTATTTTCTCCTATTATCGATGAGGTTATTGTCGATGCCATTTGACTGTTCTAATTTGGAAGACTTATCGAGTGCATGCCATCCATTAAAATGATAATTTTACATTATTCTATATAAAATAATTAAAATAAAAAAAGAATAAGGAAAAATATGCAACCCGCCTTATCCCATCCTCCCATACCCAAAATCTTCTTTCCCAAGTAAGCTTATGGCGTGCGGAAGTAATGCCGTAAAAACGTTCACTTTTTTATGGTGTGTAATGTACGTCGTTTACGGACGCCGTTATTAGTTATATGATTTTTTACAACGTGCATTTTTAACTTTTTAATGGTTTTAAGCATTTACGCCGTAAATGTTAATTTACTTTTTAAAAAATCTGTTTATTTATTTGATTACTAGTAGTTATAATAATCTCACAAATCCAATTCTAACTCAATTAAGATGAAAATTAAAATATTTTTTTAGTACAAGTTAGCATGATAAACAATATTAAACTAAATAATTATTCTAACCTTAAATGAAAAAATTATCACAAACATTTATCATATAAATAAAATGTACCAACTAGTATCACAAATACTTTCCATTTCTTCAATCAACAGACGTAAATTTAACAAAATGACGAGCCTGATTAATAACTAATGGCTTCTCAACCAACAAACATAAATTCAACCAACACAGATCAGTTATTTTACAAACAAAAGAATGATTTCCAACCACATGAGAACTTGATTGATAACTAATGGCTTCTTTCTCTAAATATCTCAAGCATGGAAAGCATGGTTATGATAAGATTCAGACTCTGTGAAGAATGTCACATTACGGGGCTCGATCTAGACTTCAGCAATGCTCATTTGTAAGCTACTTGTACCTAAATTTCATCAGATGTTAGTGATTAAGTTCCACACAATGGTAATCAATGGTCAGTTAAAAGTGTTAAGACCCACAAAAGCAGGAATGCTAGGAAGACCTGAATTGTAACATTATTTGCCTAATGAATTGTGAAATTAAAATAGAAGAGAAGTTAAGCATACCTTCGTTATGATTACAGCGAATCCACTTCGATGTACCTAATTGAATATCGCAAAACCTTTGCAGGTATCCCTTTATGATTTTTCTTAGTCCGTTCATTAACTTTTCACTGCGAAGATGCACATTTTGGACATATCTCCAAATTCTCTAAGTCATTTCTAAATAAACAACAATCATTTACGAATGCATATGTGTTCTCATACCCAAGTCAAAGGTTTGCAATAACCTTTTTATTGAATTGCAAGAATTAGGACCGGTGTTCCCATTTGAAGACATATTTTAAAATATTCTAAATTTAAAATGACAAGATAACCTTAATAAGTGTACCCAATCTTTATCCATGATAATATATATCAACAATATTAAGTCATAATCTCTTAAAATACAGTGAAAATGATTATATTAGGATATCATAGAAATCAGGTTCCAATTAAATAAGTCATTTTGACAATAAAGTTTCACACAAATTGAAATTACAAAATAAAATAATTCAAACCTGTATTAAAATAAGTGAAATTGGAACAATCACAAACTCCTTCAAACTACCGCAATACGTTGAGAAATTAATTGAGAACTTGGTAAAGAATATGGTTAAGAGAAATATTTAAGGAAAAGAGGGAGGGAATTTCAAAGATTTTCCGTAGTGCAATACCACAAATAGAATACAAACTTATGAGAGACAATCACCTTGCTTTTGGTGTTTGCATTCTTTATCTACTCAATAGTGATTAAAGAATGTGGAAAGCTAAATCTTATCCACTTCAAAGGTCCACCGAACAAGCACATAAACTAGTTAAGAAGAATTCTTGTCTAAGAAAGAACTTTTGCTACATACATATCCACAAACAGACTAGGTAAATATAAAGTTTATCATGGAAATTAAGCTTTAAGCCAAAAGTACTCCATAAAAACAACCTCTATTCCCATCACCCAAACAAATACATAACAAAAGGGAATCCTCCCATGGTTGAGTCAGTTACATTTTATGCATTTTATAAATTCTTTATCGAATTGGCTGAACCAGAAACCATAAGTTTGCTTCTACAAGAAAAATAAAATTAAATAAATAAAATTTGCATATCAAGATGTACAGAAGAATGATACCAAGTAAAACGACACGCAAAATTTCTTTTATTAAATGGTTAAACATTTGTCGTTTTCTTATTATAGTTTTGTCGTTACTAGAGATTAATCTACGAGAACCATATGATATAGAAACTTTCAAACGAGAATTTCCCTTTATACATTGAAACATTTTCTAATCTGGTAGAGCAGTACTGTGAATTAAGGAAACAATATCAGATTTTCATTTGAAGAACATTTATAATAATAAGCATTAATACCTCCTGAAATTGAATATTCTGAGACCTTTGGTTGTGAAAACAACGGATAAAAGAAAATAGAATTGAATTATGGAATTATGATCACTTGATAGGAGAGGTTAATCGATGCTTGCCTATTCAATAATTTCATTGGAAGATGACCACAGCTTATATGAATAGCAATGGAAATAACATAAGAAAATAGTTAATTTTTTGATGTCAATGAAAACTTCTCACACTTAAATGGCGAGTGATACATAATATGCTGAATTACTACTATGCTTACTCAGATTACATTGCTTAGTTGTGACTATTAATGGCCATCAATACAGTAGTTACCTAATGGTTTGTCTTATTTGAAACCCGAGAAGAATACATATTCCATTTTTTCAAGAGTCAGATGTGGTACGTCAATGTGACAAAATGGATATGTAAATTAGGAGACCAATTCTTAATCGAGTATTAATCCAATTTTTAATAGTTTCCAGTAGGACCCTAAAGTAGATTAATGCTGACATCAAATTTTTTTGAAGTATGTCTCTAGGTCTCTAGCTTTGTATGCGCTTGCTATCACATGCTAGAACAAGTAAAATCTAAGGAAAATTGACAGTAGAAGCAATATAATTTAACTATGTAAATAGCGAAAAAAGATTCAAGATCTTACGTAATAGATTTTTTTTCTAGAAAAAACACAATCAAGATCATCTAGGTGGTGCTTCTAGGTCTCCACTAAAACAGAAGGGCTGTTTGTATACCCCTATTGTTTTTAATGATTCCGAAATTCTAGTGCACAGGGCAGGGCCGGCCCTCACCCAAGGCTGACCAGGCAGCTGCCTAGGGCCTTTGATTTTCTGGTCCTGTCTCTGGTAATTAATTTTGCTCGTTTTGATGGTGAGGTGGTAGGATGAGTAATGGATTTCTT